CTCTTGACCACAGGATGGTTGGACTTGATGATCTTGGAGGTCTCTTCCAACCTGGTTGATTCTACGATGTTATGATTCAATTTGCAAAACTCTGTGTTTGTACTAAATTAGCATTTCTGTGATTGCCCAGGGTTCCTCTACAGCCACCTGTCCCCACCACTCTCTGTTTTGACAGCAATTTTACTTGATTATTAATTTTATTTCAGAAAACTGCCACAGGACTGTTATTTTTCTAATATCTATATTTTCAGATAATTTTTTGGTAGAAATTGCCATTCTAAGGACTGATAACTATGAACACTTAGTTTGTGTAAATGGGATGAATTATAATAGGAAGTCTGTCTTTTTTCCTGATAAAAATAAGTCTAAAGGCAGTTTTCTGACACCTCACTTTTCCACACCCAGCTTGCCTTAATTCACACGTGAAATGGAGCTCTCAGTGGTCTCAGTCATCGTATCAAGGCTTGAACAAGGAGTTGGGGGAGCTGAATTGCTTGGATTAACTAGTGATTGTGTCTCATGATTGAGACTCAAGGGCTTCTCTCATGTTTTGATAGAAGACAGAGCCTTATTGCTCTCTTCTGTCAGCACTAAATGCAGTGTTCTGTGGCTCTGCACTTCACAGTTGGTTCCTGCAATGCCTTTTACACAAGATAGTTTGATTTTTGCCTTCTTAATTTGAGGCGGTAGTCCAAAAAGTGAGTTTGGATCGATAGTTGTAGTATTTAGTTTTTTGCCCTGAAGTTCAATCCACATCCCTCAGCTCTGTAGTTAGCACATAGGTATCTGTTTCAGGGCAGAAATGTAGGTTGAGTGCTTATCAGGTCAGTGCTGCTGTTTAATAAACAGTACTTATCTCCTTGAAGCAACACCCTGCCCTAAATAAGTTTGCCTTGGGAGTTGAGCCAGAAATAGCTTCCCTTTTTTTTTTCTTTAATTGGATTGTAAAAAACAAATAATTTTAAAAAAAGTTTAAAATGAAAATACAGGGTGGTAGTGGTCCTGCTTTCTGAACAGCCTGGTGCTTTTTTCTTCTCCATGAGTCGTGCAGGTTGCAAAACTGAGTGTTCCCATCTTTTCCCTGGAGCCTCTGCTTCTCTCAGCATTTCATCTTCTCAAACAGAGTCTGTGCCCTTGATTTTTAGTTATTTCTGTTTTATTTAGTCACTAAACTCCAGTGGGGGAATGGAGTGATGTCAGTGAGCAACATGTGTTTGTGTTGTTCCCTGAACACTTAGATTTCATGACATCCCTGTGCAGCACTAAACAATCCCATGGTAACACAGAGCAAGGAGGATGCGTTGCTTAATTACAAAGTTACTTAAATTGGCAGCACAAATAGCTTGGAGTGTGGGGTGTCCCTCCACGATGCTTTGCCTCTGTACTTCCAATATCTAAGTGTAATCCTTTTTTTTTGTATTTCTGAACACTTGTCATGACTTACCAAATCTGGCACAGAAAAAGGGCAGCAGAATTAGGATGTAGCAGTAGATACATAAATGTTAGAAGGCATAAAAATTGGCAGTAAGGAGAAAAGAAATGCTTAATATTGGTAACAGTTGGCCAGGTAATAGCAGGAAGGGAATGTATAATGCAGCTGGAATGCAGAGTGTGGGTAATAAGGAATGGAAATGTTAAAATACAGGAGCCTGGTCAGGAATTAAAATATTTTGGAGTGAATGCTATGGGGAACATAGAAAGACACATACACACAACAGAAATAGTAGAATAATGTTAGTGACTAGGACATAGTTATCAAGTGGGAATGTTCTTTTATGGAAAGATGGATATAAAAATTCAAAAAGAGGTGGATTGTAAAGGATTCAGCAACAGAATAGCTGAAATCTTAGGTGGGAGACAGATTTCATTGGGAAAATGATGGTAAACAAGATTCTGGAGGAGCAGAGGTAGGTGCTTTGTGCACATTCTCTTGATCAGATTTAGAGGTGGATCATGGAAACCTTTGGCATATTGCAAGTGTCAGTATTTGTGGGAGTATTTTTTCTTTCTACTTTCCAGCTGTAGTGAACTTTGGTAGTTGTCTTACTCACAGCAGAGGATTCTTTCTGCTTAATGACCCAGAAACTGAATTTGTCACACCAAGCAAGGAAATACGGTGCCTGCAAGGCCACCCGAGTGGGTTAATCACCTTCAGAAAAATGTGAAGTAAGCAGAGGGAAAAGATGACAAATCCATGTCTGAGAAGTCAGGATGTGCAGGAGTTAAGACAAAAAAGAATTGCCAAAGGTTGAGCAGAATTAGTGAGCGAAGCATTTCGTGTTGCCCTCAGGGGTGGAGGGGTTAAGGTGAGATGGGCTGCTCATGGCAGGAGTGGGTTACAGGTAGGAGTCTAGAGCTAAGGTGATGCTTTGCTCCATTCCTGGGGCAGGTGTTGACACTGCAGAGGTGACATGGATGAGCAGTGCTCCTGTGAGAATTGCTGTATTGCCATTAAAAGCAAAACTGAAGGAGCTGATGCGCTTAAATTTTTGGAGACAGAGTGAACAATCTTTTATGAAACCTGAAGTTTTAGGTTATGGAAATGCAAGTCCCTAGCAACAAGTGTCTTTAACATATTGATCCAGTTAGTGTTGGAAAATCACAAGCTTTAATGCAATGTTTATAAAAGGGGGGGGGGGGAAAGGCACATTGAATTCCAATATCATGACATTATAAGGGTGCATGCCTCAGAATTTGTTTGGGAGAGAAAGTCTGAAACAAGATTTTCAAAAAGTAACAGAATAAGGAAACCCCCATCATTTCCCCAATGTCTAAGCACCAATGGGTTCCAGTGAAATACTTGATACGTGGGGAAATTGGTGCTGAAGCTCTGGTTAGTAGCACAGTTAAAATAAGGAGATACAGATGAGTGGGAAGACAGCCATGGGGAGTGGTGAAGGGTAAAGTGTGGAATTGATGCTACTAATGTTGGGAATGGTCTTATTATTTCATTAACAAACACTGCATAAATGTTAGAAATAAGCACATGAAACTTTGGCATGGTGTATAAGAGGCATTGCCAGAAACAGGAGGATCTGAGCATCATACAGACAGCAGGAGGGTGATAGGGGTTTAAAGAGTAGATATATTGAAGATAAAGGAGTTAATAGTGAACTGGGAGATGATCATAAACAACTGAGATGGGCACGCGTGTCCTGACGTCACTGGATGGCCTTTACAAGGCAGTGGCACTGCAGCAAAAGCAGTTTAGGGCTCGTTAATCCTCCTTTTCCAGTTGAGAGATGAAAGCATCAGTGTGGCTGTGCTGGACCCTGATGGGACCTCGTGTACAGTATCACTTGGTCTCGCTCAGGAAAGGTGAGCTGAAAATGCATTAGCTTGAACAGTGACTGGAAGGATGAAAATGAAATCTGATGCATGAGAAGAGGCTAATAGAAGTGGTATAGCCTTGTGGGGGTTTAAGCCAGCAGCCAAACCCCACACAGCTGCTCACTCACTCCCCCACCAGTGGGATGGGAGAGAGAATCAGAAGGGTGAAAGCTACAAAACTCCTGAGTCAAGATAAAGGCAGTTTATTAGAGAAAGCAAAAACCATGCACACAAGCAAAGCAGAAATGAATTCACTGCTTCCCATTGGCAGGCAGGTGTTCATCCATCTCCAGGAGGGCAGGACTTGAACATGGGTGATAGTTGCTCAGGAAGGCAGATGTGATAATGAATGATCCCTCCTTTCCTCCTCCTCTTTCAGCTTTTATGTCTGAGCCGACCTCGTATGGTATGGAATATTCCTCTGGTCAGTTTGGGTCAGCTGGCCTAGTTGTGTCCCCTCCCAGGATCTTGCCCACCCCCAGCCTAATGGTGGGACTGGAATGTTGAGGGACAGCACTGATGCTCTGTCAGTAGCCAAAACACTGGTGTGTTACCAACACATTTCTAACTACCTGTACAAAGCACAGCACTGTGAGCTCCCTCTCAGCTGGACACAGTACGAGCCTAAAATTAAGTATTAAATGGGAATTTGGTTTAAATCCAAAAATGATGCTGGGAGTACTAATCTGAAGGTCAGTGAGTGTCACCTGCCAATGAATAAATAAAAATGGAAGATTGTTTCTGAGTGTTCTGGAACAGCTTTCCACTAGGGAAAGTGAGGGTGGAAAAGTGGTGACTGATCTGTTAACCAAGAGATGTGTGTTGTTTCTGGTGCTAGCAGAGGACTGCATTTGATAATCCCAGGAAACCACACCTGGATTCTTACATAAGTAATGAGAAGCCTCAAGGGTTTATTTCACATGTGAAGATTTTGCTGCAAGTTGTTACTGCTCCAGACCACAGAACACCTGAGTACTGAGGCCACAGGAGTTCTGAGTACTTGAGTTGGTACCTTGAACACTTCTCAGTGGATTTGTAATGGAATTTCTTCGATTGAAACAACTGCAAGCAGCTATTGTGCTTCTACTTCACAGTGTGTGATATATGACTGGCGTTTGAGCTCAGGAATTCAGTACAGCAGCAGTAACTATTTGGTTTTTTGTGTAAAGGAAGCAGTAGGATATAGTTTGATTCTAATACAGTTTTCCAGAGAGCTGCAGCATGGAGGAGAGTGGTAGAAACTCCATGTTACAGGTGTTTTCTCAAATAAACATGGTTAGGGGATGTGCTTCAGTGTCTGTTTTGAAACCAAGGCTCTTCCCTGCAAGGAAGATTTTGGTTCTTGCTTTCCCACCAGTGCCTGCTTGGCCTGTGAAATTCCCAGGCAGTTGACAGTATAGGAAAATGCAGCTGATTTTAAAGTGCTGTTCAGTAATCAGGGCTAGGAAATACAGCATATATTGAATGAGCATGGGAAGAAGACAGTCAGAATTCATGGACTCCTGGTAGCAAGGTTTTGATTTGTTCTTGGGGTTTTTTCCAGTTTTTAGATTGCTTAAAAAAGTTACTGGTTTAAATGTGCTGTGTTCATTGGTCAAATAGCCTGTAAGTGTGTTGAACTGTCAATTTGATATAGCTGATGGCTAAGTTGTGCTTTCTCTCTTTTTCAGTGCTCACACCTCCTCCACCATTGCCACCACCAATACAGGGATATGCCTTTAAACCTCCTCCTCGACCAGATTTTGGCACTTCTGGGAGAACAATCAAACTGCAGGCCAACTTCTTTGAAATGGACATTCCTAAAATAGATATCTACCATTATGAATTGGATATAAAGCCGGAAAAATGCCCTAGAAGAGTTAACAGGTAATATTGTGCTTTGCTTTTCCTCAGTTTATTTACAATCTTGTTTTCTGTTGAAAATACTGGAGCCATGTGCCTTCATTGATAGCTGGGAGGATGTGTCTGGTTTTAATTGCTGGTTGTAATGATCACTTCCAACTCTGCATTATCCATCAATGGACTTTTTTTTTTCTCCAAGTCTTTATTTTGATGGAATTTGTCAGCATCTTAAGATGCTGCTGATGGAAACCACCGGTGACAGATGGATAAACTGTATTAGCTCTGGTAGAGCTGGGTCAGCATAAGCCAATTGGATAAATATGATTTCCTGTCTAAGGGAAAGCTATGTTCCTGAAACAGATAGCAGGGTGAAAACATGGATCAGTTGGCCAAGGAAACAAGCAGTTAGGTCTTGCATTTGGCATATGTTCCCTGTTAGTCAGAGTGTGCAGCTTCATTGACTTGAAAAAGAAACGGTGTTGCCAGAAGTGAAACTTGAGAACAAGGCTTGGCACTAACTGGAAACCACAAGTGTCATCATCATAACTACCTACATCTTGACTTGTAGAGGATCAGAGTGGCATGTTTATATATTCAAGAGCAAAACCTTTCCTTGTTAAAATGGTCACATGGGTGGAATATGCAGGCATGAAAATGAACAGTGTGGAGTCAAAAAAAGCCACCCGAAAGCTAAAGTTTTCTTAATGTGAATTAATAAACCTGAGGGCATTCTCCTTGTTTTACTGAGGAGCTGGTAATGATGGTGTTTTCATAAAGCAGCATCACTACACTTTGCTGTCCTGTTGGTTTTTTTTCTGTGGTGATGTATTATAAATCTAATTTTTCAGCTAGTTTTAGAACTGAGTTTTAATTTTAAAAGCACACATTGTTAGAAGTGTATTCAGCTGAACTCTCTTCTTGCCCAAGGGCAACTGCTAAATTCACAGAGATGCTCTTACTGCACTGGAGCTGGGGACAACACCTTGAGCAGTCACTTTTTCCATAGTGGGAGCTGTGAGAGCTTTGCTTTCCTTTCCTGATATCCCTGCCACCAGCTCCAGCCTTGACAACTGCTGTTGGCTGATGCATATTGTGTCTGTAGCTCCTCCAGGAGCTGAGCACTGCACAGCTCATGAGTGTTGTGATCACCTCCCTTATGGTCCAGTGTGTGAGTGCTTGTCAATGGCAGAGAGTGTAACTACTGAAACAGTTTTTCTCACTGATAAGAGATTATATTCAGTAGAAAGTTCTTTCTCCACTGCCAGCTTCTGACCTGCTCTGCTTTGTCAGGTTACTCACTGCTCAGTTGTGGCAGCAGGAGCAGGTAGAGATCTGCACAGATTAAATGCCTTTTGCAGTAAGCAAAGCTGTCGTAAACGTGTTCAGCAGTGGTGTGGTGCACGTTTCTCAGTGCAGTGTGCTGAGAATACAAATTGGATTCATTTACTGAAGTGTGTTTTATTTCATTTGAGTGCTTCCTGCTGTATGTGTTCCCCTGTAGATGTACCTGCACTCACCTCCACCTGTGGTGTTGTGAGCTGTGACCTTTTGGTCCTACATGTATACCTCTATTTCTCTGTGTGTGCTTATATATATTGTATAGGATTATGCAGGATGTATGTGTAATCCAATTCTAAATGATGGGGTTTTTTCCAGCTGGCTTACACATTTCTAGTATTTTTGGTTATATAATTCAGATGTATATTTATAGTAAGTAGTTTTTATCATTACTTTTTGCATTGTAACCTCTAGAAAGGTTAGAGGGAGATTATACTTTTTACTCTACTCCCTCATCTGTCCCAGCTTCATTCTTCAGTTTTACTCTAGGACTTAATCCAGCTTGGACTATGGCCCTGCAGCCCCAGTGCAGGGATGTGTACAGTGTACGTGCAAATTCCACGTGGAGGAATGAGCTGGAGCAGGACTGGAAAGCACATGGCTGAGACAACGTGCTGCTGTGCCAAATTAATACAGTCTGGCTACAATTCTTCATGTGTGACAGAAAGGCCAGCTCTGTTTGGATAGCTGGATAGGTGGAGTGGGCAGTGTGAGTTTGGTTCTGCACTGTGGCTGCTCTTGGTTTAATTCTCCAGGATTTGTACCAAGTTGCAGATGAACTCTGCCTGCAGTCGCTGGCTCAGGGTTCTTGCTTGCATGGGCTTGGTAGAACAGTAGTCCCAAAGGACTGAAGGTAATGAATTAGTAAATAACTCTTCTTTTAACTTCACATGGAGAAAATAACTTAGTTTTCATTAAGATATCTCCACCCACAACTGAGAATCTCCATTGCTAAATGTGGATGTGGTTTGAAGCTTGAAAACATTAAGTGGAAGTGTTTTTTGTTTATTTTTAATACAAAGTAGTTCACAATCGGAAGAACTTGCTCAGAAACAGAGTGGGGTTTCCATTGCTCAGTCTTTTGAAAAGTACCTGCTTCTTCCCACCCCCCAAATTATGTACTTGTTCAGTCAGACACTGCAGAGTTGAGGCAGATAGTGCTGGGTCAAGGTTTATTCATCCTTTCAGGAGGTCAGATGAGTTTCTTTCAGTGGTAACATTTGAAGATAAGCCTTAGGGCACAGCAAAGAAATTGTCAATTAAAACAGTCTTAATTCTTTTCTTGGCTGAGTTGAGAGTTTAATCTCAGTTTTTGCAGCACTATAATATTTGTGTGCTGGGCTAATTATGTTGCCAAGTCAAGGTGTAGGGGAGAGTCACCTGCAGCATCTCTGAGCTGGTTGCCAGCAGTGCTGAAGGAACAGTGGTTTCCTTTCTGTGTCACTTTCACTTCTTGATGCCTTTTTGCTCCAGGCTGAGCGTTAGGATTGCAGACTGCTGATGGATTTGGGATATTGCAGCCTGTGATACAGATTGCCTGAAGGATGTCTCTCTGGGACACTGGGACCAAAGGCTTTTGGCATCAAAGGGTGTTATTATTCCAACTGACCTCTCATCAGCTGCTGAACTGCTTTGCATGACCAGTGTGTAAACACTGTGGTTTGACTGGAACTGTGTGAGTGGTTTCCCCATTCATACAAATGTGCAACCTAATTTCAGCTGTGCTTAAATGCACATTTTTAAGATGCACAGGTCCCAGTGAAAGGGCATATCCACTTTTGTTGCATGGTTCCCAGTTTTGTTGCATACATGAAAACAATTCATTTAAAAGTTATCTTAGTGCAATGCAAAAGTTTTGTGTATTGTTGTCATCATGGAATGATAGAATCATAAAATTTAAGGGCTGGAATGGACCTTACAGATCATCTAGTCCCAACCCCCTGCCCTGGGCAGGGACACCTCCTCACTAGATCAGGTTGCTCAAGGCTCATCCAGCCTGGCCTTGAACATCACCAGGGTTGGAGCAGCCACCACATCCCTGGGCAACCTGTTCCAGTGTCTCACCACCCTCACAGTTAAAATTTTTTTTCCTAATATCCAGCCTAGACTTCTCCTCACTCAATTTGAACCCATTAACCCTTGTCCTGTTATTACAGTTCCTAACACAGAGTCCCTCTCTGGCTCCTTGTAGCCCTTCAGATATTGAAAAGTTGCTCTGAGGTCTCCACACAGTCTTCTCTTCTCCAGACTGAACAGCCCCAACTTCCTCAGCCTGTCCTCACAGGGGAGAGAACTGTCATCCTTACACAGAGGCTCTAAGCCCTGGATTATGTTGTTTTTGGAAGCTGCTCAGGCTGCTGAGCTTTTGGTGCGTGGTCCAGAAGCTGCGCAGGCTGCTGAGCTTTTGGTGCGTGGTCCTCTGCAGGAAGAGCTGTAGGACAAGGGCAACAGAAGCCCCAGGAGATACCAAGCACCCCTTGTTTTGAGCTTGAGAGAGCACAAGCTTCCTCTTCATCACTTTCACTAGATCACAGAAAAGAGGAAGGAAAGTTTAAATCTGAAAAAAACCTAAAAATAGCAACTTGAAGAAAACGGTTTAGTCTGTGAAAAGGTTGCTTTAATTCAGATGGGTAAAATCTTGCCAAGAGTGGACAACTCTTTCATTTACCTAATGCCTCTGTGGATAAATATTAATGTTAGTATTTGTCTGCTAACTTAACATTCAGAGTTGAAAAGTGGAATTAACATAATCTTTTTGCGTTTTCAGAGAAATTGTGGAGCATATGGTTCAGCACTTTAAAACCCAGATTTTTGGGGATCGCAAGCCAGTGTTTGATGGAAGAAAAAACCTTTATACAGCCATGCCACTTCCCATCGGGAGAGATAAAGTAAGTTTTAAATAGAAAAGTTTCTAACTGGAGTTTTTTAATGTGGTATTTGCAGAGCCTTTCTAATAACTGGTAGAACCTGATTTTTCTGTTTCTGGAATTGATGTTTCCTTGCTGTTTCCACTTTGCCCAGGAAGTGGTTTGCCAGGACACAAGTGTGAGCTTGCTGTTGAAGTTGTCACTCCCTGTTCTGTAACACTTTTTTCCTCCCTCTCTCCCAACTGATGAGGTTTCTGCTGCTTTGGTGAGATAGACCAACTTGCCCCAGACAGTGAACAAGCTCCAGACTGGCACTAGGGAGAAAGTGAGGGCAAGACTGAGTTTGGTTGAGGGGAATGGGAACACCCCTCTGGGCAGCAGCAAGCTGCTGGATCACCTCACTAATCTCTAAGCGCACGATAAGCTTATTCTCGTTATCCCTAGCTGGAAGAAGCTCCTCCATCTCTCTGTTGCCTGTATAGAACCTCTTCCCTAATCCTTTACGACATGAGAGCCAAATGAATTTAAACTGCACAGGTTAAGACCTGCTAGCTTAGCCCTGGGGCAGTTGGGAAGGAAGTTGTGCTTTCCAGCTCTGTGTGGGGCGGTGACCTCTTTGGGCACTCTGGTTGTAGCTGTGGAGTGTAACTGCCTCTGTGCCCATTGACTGGTGAAGTAGAAGGGAATCTGTTGGAACATGCTGACACACAAGTCCTATAAAATAATTTAGTCTAGGCATCTGTTATCTAATGTCAGATTGGATTTTTAGTGTCCTTTTTTTCATCTAGATGAACACTTGAGGGAGGACACACTTAGCTCTTGTTGGTAGTGCAGTAGTTCCCTTCTGCTGTGGGTATAAGGTGAGGCCTGCATAGTTACAGGGGAGGACTGTCCTATCCCATAGAAATTGATTGCAACTAAAGCAGGCAAAAACAAAATGTAAGGGGGAAAGGGGAATACAGAGAAATGTGGAAACTGGGAGTAGAGCTCAGGTCTTCTGAAATTCAGCAGCTATAAAGTAGTTCATGCTGCCCTTTGCTGTCTCATACTATGCTTGTGCAGTGCTTGACAGTTCTACTTGAACCAGACTCTTAATCTCATATGTGCAATTTTCATTTCTCCCTAATCTGTTCAAGTGAATGTCATGCAGTAAAGGTCAGTTTCTACTCCAGTCTTAATTATTTTTCATTAACTGATAAGGTAATGTCTGGGAAAATGATAAAGGAATCATTGAAAGATCAATGACATTTTCCCCTCTGCTTTCACATACAATACTCCAGTTCCTACAGATTTGACACATGAGATTGTAAGGTATTTGCTAAAGGGAGAATAATACTTGATGAGTGTCTCCTAGGGGTTTTAATAACTCCTCTGGATGCACACAGAGTTTTCTTATAACTGTAATCATTTACAAGTTGTAGACAATTGACAATATTCTTTATGTCAAGTCTGTAATAATTTACAAGTTGTGGACAATTGACAATATTCTTTATGTCAAGTATGAAGTTCTGCATTTAATAAGTGAAAAATGGTTTATCTATAGAGGATAAACAGGGATCAAATTAATCCTCAGATTTAGTGAGACTTTGAGATGCAAGTTGACCCTACTTGCTCTGACAAGATAACCACTTTGGGTGGGACAGAATTAACAAAATCTGCAAAGTCGTCTTTTTCCCAGGTGTAGGTTGCAACGTTCATTTCCACGGACACAAAGGAATTGGGGCATTAAGAGCATTCCCTGCTGGCACACTGTCACCAGGTTTCATTTTTACCATGTCTAATTCAGTACACATGGGCTTTAAAATCCAAAGCATCAAGAATGAAGTGCTGTTCAGTCAACAGGCACAGACACAGAAGGAACATCTCATCCAGGAGGTCATCTCTCTCATCCAGTTCTCTAGTCTCACCAGAGTGATGATCATTTGCAATAGGTGGTCACTGAGGAGAGTAATTATAGTGGAAGTTGAGTGGATAGTTCAGGTGGTTTCATCTCTGGCTCACATTTAGGCTTATTTTCAACAAACTCCTATTTTTTCCATGCTTCCCATGAGATCTAGGACTTTGTCAGTTGTTCTGTTCTACATATATTAACGTTACCCTGGAGGAAAGAGCTAATAGAGAGAAATCTTGAACCATTTTGAATCAGACATGGGGAAATTTAGCTTAATGAAGGAAATTTTTACATGGTGCTGTTTTGGTTTAAGCATGATTTAAACCAGTACAGAGCTTGCAGGTATTGGGACTTTGCTCCAGCGTAATTAGATCAGGTTTCTTTGGTGGTTTCTTTGGCTGTTCTGTACATAACAAATAAGTTTACTGCACATTTGATCTATTTTTTATGGAGAGAGTGATCAGGCATTGGAATGGGCTGCCCAGGGAGGTGGTGGATTCCCCATCCCTGGTGGTTTTCAAGCTGAGACTGGATGTGGCACTTAGTGCCATGGTCTAGTGACCACAGCAGGGTTGGACTTGATGCTCTTGGAGGTCTCTTCCAACCCTCCAAGTTAATTAATGCACTCTGTCCTCATCTCTTATTGGTAGTGGTTGTTCTGGGCTTGTTATTTTTGTGTCCTTGCTGACTTTTCTGCTTGGCCTTCATGGTTATCAAACCTGTTTATATTCCTTCCTTATCATACCTTATATTCAGTCTTGAATTCCTTCATTTCTTTACACCTTTCAGAACAAATATGGAATATGTAAATATTAACACTGTTTTCTTAGTTTTTACTTGTACACATTCAGAAGAAAGAAGTGTATAGGACATTATCAAGGTAGGAAGATGTTAAGTCCTTTCTTTCCTCGAGTCACCAGTAACTGAAACTTTGTACTCATTTCCTGCATTGCTTATGTATTTCCCTAAAATCTCCTTCTACAATTAGAAGCTAGAATTTAATGTGAACTGTACTCGAAAGTGTTCTCACCTAAAAAGACTGGAGAATAACGGATATATTATACATCTTTATTGGTCTTTATTTAGAAAAACAGTAATTATGAGTGAACCAAGCAGTAGTTTGATACAGAAATCCTACAGCTATTGCCTTTTCCTGAAGAGAAGTGTTACTCCTGTCTATGATCATAACCTTCTTCCTCTTGGCTTTGTCTGTTTGAAGTACTGCTGATAACTGTACATGAGAGAAGCAGAGTTCTTTCCTATGTCCATAGCTTGAGGTTTCCAGACAAGTCCATGGGAGATAAGAACCCAAGTACTTGGCTGGAAACTGTGCATCTGTTTTCCTCTGAATCCCTGAGAAAGAAAAACTCTGGATTAATAGGGAAAAGGTACAGTGTGTGCTCAAAACATGATAAAATAATCATGTCATGTTGCATATATTTTATGGAGAAGGAGTGTTAAGAGTTCCCCAGAAACACGTGGCCAGGTTTAATTTTTATTAAACAGTGATGTACTGATTTGCATGAGTGATTTGCCACACCATGACCTATTCTTTTAACAACAGCTTTCACATATTTCTACAAACTTACTGATATTTCATATCCTGTTAGTAACATCCCTTTTGTTTAGTTCCTTGAGCTGCAAAATTGTCAGCTGTGTTGCAGCTTAGTAGCAGGCCTGGGAGGTAGTATTCAGCAGACAGAGCTCTGCTGAACTCAGTTGGTGTTTGCAGTTGAGCACCTGGAGTAGAAATTGTTCAATCTTGGGTCTTTTATTTCCTCTAGGGACACAGGTACTGCCACACAGGTTGTCTTCATCTGTTCTTCATCTTCTTCCATTTTATCATGGTGAAGGAGTTTTGTAAACTGAAACCAGGACGGGAGAAAAAAGTAAAATTAAATCTTTTTTAGATTAATTTACCAAAGTTGTTAATAATCAGATTAGTTGTATATTAATGGTATTGGGAGTTAGAATGGTTTGGGTTGGACAGGGCCTTAAAGGTCATCTAGTTCCAACCCCCCTGCCATAGGCAGGGACACCTTCTTCTAGACCAGGTTGGTCAAACAGAAATTAAGAAATTTGATTTGGAGGAGGAGAGAAGTTTGAAGGAAAATGAAGACCAGGTGTGACAGACATCTTCCATCTGCTGGAAATGAGATGCACGTTGAGGATTTTTGGCTGGTGTGGTGGATAAAAAGACCTCATGGAAAGCTTCCAACCTGTGTCAGCTGAAATGTTTGCACAGCTTTCAGCAGAGTTAACCTTCTGGGCCAGACTCACACCAGTGACCCTGTGATTAGACTCCAGTTCCCACTGCTCTCCCACAGCCTGTGCTCAAGTCTCCTGGGGAATGTTGTTTGTGCTAGAGGAGAGATGCAGATGTAATATTAATTTTACTGCCTTCTATAGACATTCAGCTCCTTTTTGGAGAACACGGGAAGGCTTGTAATTTGTTTTATCTTGCCTTCCTAGTTTGGACTGAAGAAGTGAACTGTTGCAGGAGACCAGATGCTGACAGACGTGTGTTTGCTGTTACCCATGTGTTATTTTTGCTAGCCCACTAATTGCAGCATGTCTGTTAAGTGGATGTCTTTTATGTTTAAATTGCAAGTCCCTAGGACAGGAAAATACAACATTTTTGTTTGTATCCAGCACAAAGGATACTCTGATCTTATTATTTCTTGTAGTCACTCCCAGAACAGCTAATCATTTCAGACAAGCCTTAATTCTAGTCAGCTTAAGAACTTTGGTGCTCAGGCTTTCTTTGTTTTAAGAAACAGGAGAAACAAATAATTGCAAGGAATTGGTTAAAGTAATTTACCATAATGTATTTTGCAAGTGTTTTTTAGACAAAAAAATCAAAGTAGGGCATACCATGGCACAGGAGTGCCCCTGTTTTACTGCCTGATAGCATCACTGGTACTTGGGGCTCATCATTTATTCTTTCTTTGGTATTTAGAAAATAAGAGGGTTTTGTCTGGTGGGTTTTGTGGGGTTTTTGTTTCGTTGGGGGGAAGGGGATTGGTGTTTGCTTTTTCCTCATTGAAAGCTCCTTGTGAATTTTATTTTCTCTGGTTTGAACTGTGTCTACAGCAATAGCACATGAAGCACTCTGGTGCTCTAGAGAGCAAATAGCAGAAATTCATGAGTCTTGGCAGGTAGTGACAGCCCATGTTTTATTTTAGGCATGCAGGAGCTGACACGAGCAGTGATGCATTGGTACGTGTTAGGTATCTGAAATCAGGTTATCGGATCTTCGCAGAGACCTCACAGTTGCCACAAGCACTTCCAAACAGTAGTGTTGCCTCACAGAGGGAGAGAGATGCCAGCTGGGAATGATGCCAGCTTGCTGAAATACACCTTTGGGAAGATCTAGCCATTCCTAATGTATGTTGTTGCTTCATCATTGCTTTTTGTCTCCTCCCATGCCCTGTAGCGCTGTTCAGAGGAATCCATCATCCCTTCCATTTTCCCCCTTTCAATGGAAAGAATCATCTTGGTTTGTTGTTTGGCATTGTTGCAGGTGGAGCTGGAGGTCACGCTGCCAGGAGAAGGAAAGGACAGAATATTTAAGGTGGCTATAAAGTGGATGTCCTGTGTGAGTTTGCAGGCTTTACATGATGCTCTGTCTGGTCGGCTGCCAAGTGTCCCGTTTGAAACCATCCAGGCACTGGATGTAGTGATGAGGCACTTGCCTTCCATGAGGTGAGGGGAAGACCTTGACATGGTTTAGGAGGTTCCATTATTATTTGAATCTCTTCAGTGGCTGTTTGGATAGGATGTGCTTTCCTAGCTCAACGAAAGGAGTGGCTGGGTAGCCGAGGGCAGGGTCAGGCAAGAGGTGATACGGTGCTTTTCTGCTCAGCTGGTGGAATTTGTAGCCTCCAGCCTGGACACAAGTCCCTTCCCCCAGTGATCTTCAGACTGGCTCCATGTTAGTGTGCTCTCAGGTCAGGGCTGCCCTCCCATCTCCCTCATTTCTCTGTAGCCTTGGAGAAGGAAGCTCTCCCTGAGTGGGAAGTACTTGGAGGTTGGTAGATGTGGAAGGGTTTAATTTGTTACCCTGTTCCTCTGTGTCCTTGAGCAGATGTTTATTGCCAGTTCTGTATGAAGGATACAGTGCTAGGGGGACATTAGTGTCACCCCATATGGCTATTTTTATAGAAAAGGGAAACTTGAAAATTATTTGGGTTGGTTTTCTTTCCAAGCAAGTGGGATCTACAGCATTTGCAGTCACAGCCAGGAGATACTGGGTTCAGTCCTGCTGCCATGAAACAAGTCACTTAAGCCCACTATGTAAATTATATTCATTTGGGAAGTAAAGAACATAGCTTAGTAGGGCTGAACTTGGCCATTTTGAAGGGCTGAATGGGGAAATTTAGTTAAGTTTATGTGAATATGTTTAAATAGCCTTGGAATATGTTGACTTTATCCTCATATTAAGGATTAAAAAGAAAAAAGTAAAATTACTTCTAGTCATATTTTACAGCACAGAAACCAGCCCAGACTGTCAGATACCTCTGTTCAAAGGAACATGGATATGATTAGTTTGCTATTAGGTGTGCAGTACTTAATTACCAAGATGTATCAGAAATATATGTTAGATCTCTTGTTTACCCATACAAGATGTCTATGTATTTTCCAGGAAACTATGCACAGCTGAGGGGAGAGATCATTGCCTTGGTGTTTCAATAGCAGAGGTGTTTATTTTCTTACTGAAGCACAGCTGAATTTTTTAATAGAATGCAAATCAAAATTTGTTAATGCTTTTTGTTTGAATTAGAAGCTATGTTAAGGAGTGTACTGAAAATAAATTGAAACAAACTTCAGTAGCCAGTTCCTTCCTTTGAGAGGTGTAACCTGAGTCCTGACAGGAGTCTCAGATTATTGGTCATTTGAACCTCTGACATTTCTGTGCTTTTGTGATCAAGAATATGCATTAATTATGGATTGATTGCACTTTCTGCTTTAGTTTTCTGATGTGAATTCCTTTGCTTTGTTGCAGATATACTCCTGTGGGGAGATCTTTTTTCACAGCATCAGAAGGGTGCTCAAATCCTTTGGGTGGTGGCAGAGAAGTTTGGTTTGGCTTCCACCAATCAGTCAGACCTTCCTTATGGAAAATGATGTTAAATATTGATGGTAGGTCCCGTAAAGTGTTTACTTGTTCTTTTGTTATCAGTGGAAAGGCAAAAATTTAGTTCCATGTGTTGGATTTTGTAAAAAATTTCTTCTGTATTGCTGTTTTTGTCTGCAGTGTCTGCAACTGCATTTTACAAAGCACAGCCAGTTATCGAGTTTGTATGTGAAGTTTTGGACTTCAAAAGTATTGAAGAACAACAGAAACCTCTGACAGATTCCCAAAGGGTAAAGTTTACCAAAGAAATCAAAGGTAATGATTAAATTGTATAAAACTGCTTTATTCTGTCTGGTGTGTCATCACTACAAATGCAGAACGTTTTCTATAGTGGTTGCCTTACGAGGAGACAAAAATTTCATATTTTTCACTTTTGAAACTTATCAGTAGTGCCAGTACCAGTTTCATGACAAAGATACTCCAGTTCCTGGCCTGATTTCTAAAGACTAGGATTTCATGGGTGTTTAATTATCTAATCTTAAATTTTTCCAGTCACTGATGTCAGGATTGTCATATTTCAACTCCTCTCAAGAGTACAATTCCCATTACCTATGTCAGGATTTTCATATTCCAGTTTTTCCTAATAATTTAGCTATGTGTTTTTGCATACTTGGGTATGCTTCACACATACACTCTCTTGGAATTAAATTGCAGTTATTCTAGTGTGTAGTGACTGAATCAAAGAGTACAGGAGGAAGAAATATTACTGTTTTGTTTTTTCTTCACTGAAGGTTTCTTCTGGAAAATGGAGGTTCTTCCTTCCTGATATTCTTGGTAGAAAGAAAGCAAGCTAAAAAAGAAAAACAAACTCCATAAATCTATTCTACACCTTCCTTTCTTGTTTCCACAAAATGTCCACAAAATACTCTTTGCCCAATTAAAAGTTAGCAAGAAAAGTATAAATAAATCCTGAGTTTATACTAGTTGTGAATATTTTGAAGAAATAATCAGGCACCAAATTGCTTCACCACAGCCTCATTCCCATGGGCTCCTAGAGGCTGTTTGAGTATTCCACCCACTCACCCCCCCAGTTCATTAGTTCAGGCTCAGCTGCAGTGGTTGGAGGTCTCTCAGACACTGTGTGTTTAGACAGAAAGGATAAACAAGGCTTTTTGTTTCAAAGAGGTTGGGTGCCCTTTTTGTCCTTTCCCCATCCTGGACTTCCTTAGAGGTACAGAACTGGAATTTGCAGAATGCTTTCAGTGTCATCTGTGAACTTTTGGGGCTTGGGACTTCATCTTGTCTCTAAAACTCCGTGTTGAACTTTGGCTGGAGTTTAGGGCGGTTCAATGTTAAGACTATAAATTGCTTTTTGAGTCCTGTCTGGAATACTCTTTGGTGCTAAATAGTGAATGCTTTTACTGCAGAGTGTAAGGGGAATTGTGTAGCAGTTGAGGGGCTAACACCTAAATGGTGATAATTGTTTTCCAATTTTCAGGTCTGAAGGTGGAGATAACACACTGTGGACAAATGAAAAGGAAGTACAGAGTGTGCAATGTCACCAGACGACCAGCAAGTCACCAAACGTAAAGGATTTTGCTGCTTTTTAAAGCATGTTTGAGCTAAAGCTAGAAAAATATCTTGTCTGCCTTACTGACATAGGAATAGTTGTCTTGAAAAATGATACTTTCTTTGGTCAATACCCTTAAAATATCCTTCAGAGTATTTTCCCAATTTTGCTCTGTTTTTATATTTCCCATTTTTGTTCTATTTTTATGCAATGAATGTTAATGGCATTTGAACCAATCACTTAGTTTTAAATCTGGGGTGGGTTTTTTTGGTTGGGTGAGGGTTTTTTTTCTTCCATTTATGAATTTCTTCAGCAAGAACAGTGTGTCCTGTTTGTAGCCTAATGTTTCAAACAACTGTTGAGCAGAAAAGTAATGTCAGTTGAATCAGCTTCTAATCTTACTTATTGCCAATCTATTTTTCCTCTGGAAAAAAAAACCCTGTATCTTTTTAATCACTAACCAGAGATTTGAAGATAACTTGAATATGGAGGTATTGATTCCCATTTTTAAGGCAGTACTACAAGGAACAAAACTGACAGCAGCTTTTTATGAGAAGATAACTGATCAGTATCTAAATCTGGTGTTTAATTGTTTGGGCTTTGTTTCATGCTCTTTCAGTAAAGTTTAACCCGTGCCAAGAAGTGTATTGAGGAACTGTGGGAAAGTGTTCTGCATGAAGTAATGGCTTCTTTTCATATTTGCTTCCCGCTAGATTCCCAAAAAAAAAATGGACAAACAATGCACTGTAGCTCAGTATTTTAAGGACAGGCATAAATTAGTTTTACGCTACCCTCACCTTCCATGTTTACAAGTTGGACAGGAGCAGAAACACACATACCTTCCTCTGGAGGCAAGTGAACTCAAAGATAATCCTGTGTTCTGGGAGTGGGGCAGGGATTCAGAGGGAAAATGGGCTCAGATGATGACAAACTGTTTTTTGAGTAAGTAGCTCAGTATTTTAAGGACAGGCATAAATTAGTTTTACGCTACCCTCACCTTCCATGTTTACAAGTTGGACAGGAGCAGAAACACACATACCTTCCTCTGGAGGCAAGTGAACTCAAAGATAATCCTGTGTTCTGGGAGTGGGGCAGGGATTCAGAGGGAAAATGGGCTCAGATGATGACAAACTGTTTTTTGAGTAACCCCCTCTAGGACTTCTATAGTGTAACACCAAACCAAAACCCAATTGCATCATGTTTTTTAATTTCCTTTCTGTGGGGATGTTTTAGGTGTGCAACATAGTGGCAGGACAAAGATGCATAAAGAAACTCACTGACAATCAAACTTCCACTATGATTCGAGCGACTGCCAGATCAGCACCTGATCGTCAAGAGGAGATTAGCAAGTTGGTGAGTGTTGTGTCCAACATGAGTCAGCTGTAGTGATGGGCTTCACTCTGCTCACTGTTAGCAGGTGCTGAGCACTGCACACAGGGGATGATCAGCTTGGCTGTGAACGTTTTTGTGATTGCAGATGCGGAGTGCGAGTTTCAACACCGACCCTTACGTTCGTGAGTTTGGAATCATGGTCAAAGATGAAATGACAGATGTGACTGGCAGAGTCCTCCAGCCTCCTTCCATCCTCTATGGAGGCAGGGTATGTCCAGTGGGTCCTGTGCAGCAGTACCAGCTGTGATAACATCCGTACTGTCGTCGTTTGAAACTGATGGTGTTGGGTGCAATGAGATAAAGTCATCACAGTTGTGATGTTTAGAAATCACATTTAGGTTCTGAAAGTCCTTCAATGTATTGGCTGTTCTGCATCTCCCTCAATCGTTTCCTCATTTCTCAAAGTATAGCTAGGTTAAAAATGTGTTTATGTGAACTCAGAGAAGGGTGTTTGGGCACTGGAACAGCTCCCCAGGGCAGTGGTCATGGCCTCAAGCCTGACAGAGCTCAAGGAGCATTTCATAGCCTCATAGAATCAACCAGGTTGGAAGAGACCTCAAAGATCATCGAGTCCAACCCTACCGTGGTTACTAGACCATGGCACTAAGCTGGTCTATGGCACTATGTTGGCACATTTGGACAGTGCTCTCAGACACAGGGTGTGATTCTTGGGGCTGTGCTGTGCAGGGCCAGGAGTGTTGGACTTGATGATCCTTGTGGGTCCCTTCCAACTCGGGATATTCTACAATTCACTCTTTGCCAGTAATTAGTGATGTGTAAAATATCCACAGTACAAAGGTCCTTCTTGGAAAGTTTACTGAGCAGTTGTAAAGTCACTGTAGAAATGTTTATTCCTGTTTAAGGTTCCATACCAAGGATGAATTCGACTTACTCTCCATATGTAATTTCTATCTGCTGCTGGTTTATACCACCAAAGGAAATGATCAACCATAAAAATTAACAATATGAGCTTTATTTTTCAAAGTGTCTTGCTCAGTGACAGAATGGTTGTTAGAAGATGGGATGGGTGTTTGTACAGGGGAGAGAACAACCTGAGAGTATAAATCCTGTTAGTTGGAGACAACTCGATTCATGCTAAACAAAACTTACTTTTGCTTCAAATTTTCTGTATTTTGTTTGTATCTTTTTCCCTTCCACTTGCAGAATAAGGCAATTGCTACACCAGTTCAAGGAGTGTGGGACATGAGGAATAAACAATTTCACACTGGAATTGAAATAAAGGTTTGGGCAATTGCCTGCTTTGCTCCCCAGCGCCAATGCACTGAAGTTCATCTTAAGTAAGTGTCTCATAAGATGGAGATTTTATTACTTTTTATGTATGAAAATGTAATTTCAGTTACTTGTTTAGAATATCCATTGTTCAGTTGTTGAACATACAGCAATACATCTTTGACAGTGCTTTTGATGTTCTGTCTTTGTGTTTTGAAAGATGCCAGTATGGTTTCAATGGCAGTATCAGGAAATCCTTATCCAAAGCCATTTGTACTCTGTGGCAAGTTTCTGACCAGTGAGGCCTTAGGACAGACTAAGGTGACTGAAATGATGTAATGACAAGTGTTTATCACTAAGTGTTTGTCAAGAATGAAAGCTAACTTAAGTTCTCTTAAGATCTTTTCCTAATTATGTGGAATAGATTTCTTCATGCAGCACTTACTTAAAAGGAAAATTGTCTAAAACTCTCTCCTGTTTGCAGTTCCTGGGGTGTGCAGGTCTGTATTTGCCAGATGAGCAGGACTAGTTGTTTCATTGACTTCGAGCCTTTAAGTAAATCTTTGAAATTCTGTTTCATTATCTTTGGATGGAACATGATTGTTGAAAGACTTGTTAAAAGTAACATCTGCCATTCTTGGATCAGGGGCTCTGCAGGCCTGTGTGGATGTTTGATTCATCCCTTCACATGCAGCTGCTTTCCCTTCATGCATGGACAAGTGCAGCCTCAGAGCTGCCCCAGCAGGTGACTCACCTGCTCCTTGTGAGGTGAACACAAACCAGGGATTGCTCATACAAATGGTATTGCCATAACAGTGTTCCTTCAGATGATTTGCCAAACAGCTTGGGAATTTTTCCCTAACAAGTGATGAGCAAACAGTGGGAATCTTACTTTTTATTGCCCATTGTGTGAGGCAGGAACTTGTTCTCTCCAGGCACATAGCAAGAGCTAAGCTGCCAGAGAATTTTTCCTTGCACACTGTTGTTTCTAGTGGAAATGCTGAGCAGAGAACTTACTCAGTTTTGAGACCTAGAAAAAAGTCTTCAACATCATGAGCCAAAATAACATTACTTGATGGCTTAGATGGAGTTTGTCCTTACTGCAAAAGGACATTCCTCCTTGCTAGGAATATGGATGCATCTTGTTGCCTCTTGTTACATCTTGTTGAGCAAGTTGGAACTTGAATACTGTAGGCTAGATTAAACACTTTCTAATTCCCTAAAAGTCTTCAAAATTATCTTGCTTTTTACCTCTCAGGAACAGAGAGAGAACCTTAAATGCCATACTTCCAGATGGACTTCCGAAGCCTCAAAACCTGAGCTGCTTTAGACTTGAAAGTGAGAGTCAGAGAAGGGTTTGGGTTGGAAAGGACCTTAGAGATGATCAAGTTCCAACCCCCCTGCCATGGGCAGGGACACCTTCCACTAGACCAGGTTGCTCAGGGTCTCCTCCAGCCTGGCCTTGAGCACTTCCAGGAATGGGGAGATGTTCTGTCACTGACTCTGCTATAGTGGCAAGTGCCTGTTTTTCCAGGGGAAGTACTTAATGTGGCCATTTTCTGCAAAGAGCCTCAGGCTGCAGGGCTGAAGCTCACACACTGTTATGATTCATGCAAGTTAACAATGGTTTTGGAAGAAACTAAATCTTCACACCCTATCAGTGGGTGGCACCCTGGCACCCTTTGCTGAAGATGAGTAACTTTTTAGACACCTGCAGGGGCACCCAATCCAACATAATAAAAAGGGGCTTTTGTCAGTGAGCTGGCAAGACTCACTGATGGAAGCCTCTGAAAAAATTAGGTTGTCTCCATTTCTGACCAGTTTCATCAGAGGGTTACATATATCTGCACCATCCTTGGAGAGGGTTTGTCTTCACCTCCAGGATACACCTTTTTTCTGGTATCTAGCAGGGTTTTCTTGTGCATTATTACTGACATTAGATCAATTTGCTGAGACAATTTCTGATAACTTCTGTTGGTTATTTTCCTCATGAATTAAAAAGGGAGGAACTCTAGTCCTTTGTGTAGTGGTACCACATGGAATTGTGGCAGAACAGGCTATCCAAAATACTATCAGTGCAGGTTTTTTGCCAAAAATAGTTTATCCTGTATCTCCCCTAGAAAGGTCTAATCAGATGGAATTTGCACTGGAAGTTTTTATGATGGTGTTATTTATACAGTATATCTCCTGTCTTCAGTGATTACTTGGGCACAATTAAAAATGCACTTGGGGTAAACTCCCAGATTTTTGAACAGCACAACTCTGTGAGTTTAACAAGATTGTTCCACTAAAGAACAAAAGTCAAGATGGGGTTTGCTCCCTGGTAATCTGATGTCTTTATTTACATCCTTCAGGTCCTTTACAGAACAGCTGAGAAAGATTTCCAGAGATGCTGGGATGCCAATCCAGGGGCAGCCGTGCTTCTGTAAATATGCACAGGGAGCTGACAGTGTGGAGCCCATGTTCAGACACCTCAAGAACACCTACACTGGGCTGCAGCTTGTCGTGGTGATTCTGCCAGGAAAAACACCAGTCTATGGTCAGTAAGTGCAAATCATGAGCGTGTGCCATTCAGTCATCATTCTGTGTATTTTGTGTCAAGGATCCAAATGAGAGAGGGTTAGTGCTGGTTTAACTACATCAATTCCACTTAGGAAATGAGCTATAAATTAATTTCATTCTTCTTCTCGTGCTGCTTAATGTTTTCTATTAAGACCTAATTATTTTCATTATTTTTTCTACACTTTTAATTGGCTTTTCCACATTCTTCCTGCTGGTTTGTTGCATTTGAGATACAAGTTGAGTGTGAAAGCTAAACCAGGGCTTTGAGACTGATGAAATTGATAGCAGTAGATAAAATATACTTAATGTAACTTGTGTGCTGAAAATGGCAAATGCTTGAAGAAGTAATGACCTCAAGAGCCCTGTAGCTTTTAGAACATCTTTGCTTACTCACACCATCACCCTTTGGCAAAAAATGTTGAGTGAAGGAGAAGATTTCTGCCTGATGATTGTTTTTCATATTCTTTCATGGTTTTTAACTCTTGGATTGCAGGGACACAGATGCATGGAAGGTGAAAGCTCAGCAAACCAAACTGGTTTTTGGAAACACTTTGACAATTAGTGCATTTTACATAGCACATACACATAAGTTTTAATATGTTTTAGATAAACCATGCATTTGGTTTTAACTGGCTCTTCCTATAGGCAAGATTGCTTGTTTCCCTGTCCTGTCTTCCTCCTTTTTTCACTCACCTTGCCTAGTTGGAGCAACATGCACTTTTTTCTCCCAGAGCTACATGGTCTCTCTCTTCTCTGTTGGCTCAGATCTGCCAGTCAGCTGCAAATTTGTTTTATCCCATCCCTCACCAATTTAATATAGCAGAAAATAATTTCCTAACTTTCTTTTCCCAAGATTCTCGTACAAGATGAAAACAGACATTAAACAAGGAAATAGTACCTTTTTTTCCCCCTTGAATTCAGCCTTGCAAAGGAAGTGGCTTGTCTCTAATTTGTTCAGTAGAAGTGCAGTGCAAAATGACATTTTCATTTTTCCTGCCTGGCAGTAAAAGGGAACTCTTCCCTCTACTTAACCACAGAGAGGATGTGGTACTGCTCTCATCTGCTTTCCTTGTCATTATCTTTAATTATAGTTCTTTCTGCCCCCTCTAATTATCTCTCCTTATTTTCTCCTTGCTCTCTTCAGCTCTGCACTTCCTATACCCACAGTCTTGTCTTTTCTCCTCTTCCCACCCTGCTCTTTCTCTCTCTTGTTAGGAGAGTAGGGGTTGCATCTTCTTTGAGTCTGTCTTGGAGCTTAAATTTCTTCCTTGAGCGTAAGAATATGAATTGTTGTTAACAATAGGATTTGGTTTAACCTTTTGACCAGTACAGAACTTAATGGGTTTCTTGGAGGCTTTATAGGCCCATCCTCTGCTGAACTGGCCACTGGTGAGACACTGGCACAGGTTGCCCAGGGATGTGGTGGCTGCCCCAGCCCTGGTGGTGTTCAAGGCCAGGCTGGATGAGCCTTGAGCAACCTGATCTAGTGAGGAGGTGTCCCTGCCCAGGGCAGGGGGTTGGGACTAGATGATCTGTAAGGTCCATTCCAGCCCTTAAATTCTATGATTCTGTCTGTGCAAGTGATGAACTTGCAGTGATGAGCTGAATATTGCAGTTAGGTTTGTGTTGCTAGCCCAGTGTTCATAATGAAACAAGTGCTCATCATCCTAATGTCATCTTCATTACCCATGTCATTAGCCAGAAGTGATGAGAAAACACTCTAATAGTAAAATAGCAATTGATTTCCAAAATCTTAAGTTAAAATCAGCCAAGAAGTGCCTTCAGTTGTATTGTGGGCCAGGTTTCTGTGCTGTGGTGGAATTAGGGGTATCGGAGCCTGCGGTTGGGTTTGGGGCTTAGATTTCTTTGTGTGGCTTTAAGCAACTGCTCAGCTGAAGGATGTAGTTAATTGTCACTGAATTCACATCTCCTACATCTTTGAGCTGCAATTTGCAAATATTTCCCTGTTTTTCTTTGTCGTGCAGCGGAGGTGAAGCGCGTCGGGGACACTGTGCTGGGAATGGCTACACAGTGTGTTCAGATGAAAAACGTCCAAAGAACAACCCCACAGACTCTGTCTAACCTCTGCTTAAAAATAAATGTCAAATTAGGAGGCGTAAATAACATTTTACTGCCACAGGGAAGGTAAGTGATCTTTCCAAGAGGAAGAGTATTGTATTGTAAGAGAAGTGCATCACTCTGCTTTTCTCTGCAGTCATGGCACTGCCATTTGAGTGAGTCTCCAGACAAACCATCTTTTGGCTTCTAATAAACAGTCCTACAAAAGTTAGGTTATGAACACTGGAGAGGAATACTTGTTTCTGTGGAAATTTGTAATAGAACTGTTATTATTGCAGTCTGACCATTTGAGTACACAACTTTGATTTCAGTGAAAAATCTGCAATATTCTCTTTGCCTTCAGTTTTCACAAACAGACCATCTAGAATAGTAGTGCCTTATCCTTTAGAATTTAATTCTGGCCAGAATTCTTCATTAGGTTGTATGCCTTAATTTACACAGACATATAAGGAACCAAAAGCTGGGAACAGAAAACTCAGTTGGTTTCCAGGTCCAGTTTAACTTGCAATTTCTCACTAGTACATTGATAAGTTCTAATTATTCAGTGAAGTTGCTTTGATAGCATTGAATTCAAATGAGATGTGTCACTGAAGTCCTGTGTGTAGCTGAGTGGGAGTGAAACAAATCCTGGTTGTAAAAAAGGAAGGACACTGCTGTTAATATCTTAAAGCAAGTGTTCTTTAATTGAAACTTTTCATCATTTTTATGGAAAAATCAGTGACAAGAAATTTAATGGAAGAATGAACAAAACCCAGCTTGTTTTGAGTTACCTGTGCAGGATAGAGAAGCCTAATGTAAAGATACATAAAGTTACTTTAATCCAAATGAACAAGTGTGTTTCTACATCAGTATAAAGAGGGAATTTTTACAGTCATTGCATGTCCAAGTTGCAGTGAGAGGTCAGGGAATAACCTACATCATTCTTTGGAGCCTGGCTCAGAGGAATCAACATCATTTTGCATTGATGAGCAAATTTTCACTGCAGAGTATTCAGGCTGGTCAGGAGGCAACGGCTGAAAAATAATCCAACAAGTACTTAGTACGGGGAAGAAAAGGAACACATTATCAGAAGGAATATGTACCTCATGTATCTTGTTAAATTCTGTTTATTGAACTCGGTAGACTCAGCCTGGGTGATGTGTTTGTTGGAGACTCCTGTGAAAACAACTGAAATCATCATATCAGAGTGTGCATTTCAAAAAGGCACAGTGGTGGGTTTGGTTTTGGTGAAAATGTAGTTAAGTAAAGGGGGAAAATTGGCACAACTACACATACTACCTTGGCATTCTGGAAAAGTGCAGGTTTTGGGTATTTAAAGCAGAACTCATTGTTATTTTCTGTTGCTTGAGGGAATGGGAATATAACAGGGATTGTCAGTTACATTGGTGTGATTACCCTCACATTTCTTTTAGAGAAGGTCTGCAAAGAGCATAGTCTGTTTCCATAACCATTTAGTCTTTCCCCTACACACTCACATGCAGATGAAAAAGTACTGGTGGCCTAAGACTTCCTATTTAAGATTGTTTTATTAGAGAATAAATTTGAGGCTTAAAACTTATATTGTAGTGCTTTAGTGTTCTACACCTAATGTTTAAGATTGTTTTATTAGAGAATAAAGTTGAGGCTTAAAACTTACACTGTAGTGCTTTAGTGTTCTACACCTAATGCACTGGATTGATATCTTAACTTAAAGGTTTGTTTAAAACTTTTTTTTAAAAGAAATCTACTTCTAAAATAGTAACTTTGATAGCTACAATTTCTGTACTTACTTACCAATACTGGTAATACTTGGAGTGGGGCAGTAATTAAAAAAATCTAAAATAATAACTTTGATAGCTACAATATCTGTACTTACTTACCAATATTGGTAATACTTGGAGTGGGGCAGTAATTGAAACCAGCAGTGAGGAGAAAGACTTGGGAGTGACAGTGGATGAGAAGCTCAGCATGAGCTGCAGTGTGAGCTCAGCCCAGAGAGCCAATGGAATCCTGTGCTGCATCCAAAGCAGTGTGGGCAGCAGGGCAAAAGAGGTGATTCTTCCCCTCTGCTCTCGTGAGACCCACCTGGAATACTGTGTGCAGTTCTGGTGTCCTCAACACAAGAAGGAGATGGAACTGTTGGAGCAAGTCCAGAGGAGGCCACAGAGTTGGTAAGAGGACTGGAGCATCTCCCCTGTGAGCACAGGCTGAGGGAGTTGGGGCTGTTCAGCCTGGAGAAGAGAAGACTGTGGAGACCTCAGAGCAACTTTTCAATATCTGAAGGGGCTACAAGGAGCCAGAGAGGGACTCTTGGTGAGGAACTGCAGTGACAGGACAAGGGGGAATGGTGCAGTTCTCCAAGTGAAAAAAAATAAATTTTAAAGCTAATTTTTAATTGAGAGTAAGAATCAGTTCTGCTTTACAAACCTGCCTAAGTGTGAGAACCTTGATCAGGATTTCTCATTACTGCCACAGGACAAGTGTCCAACTCTGATCCAGTGCCAGTTGTTGATGGATTCACTGCAGGAGTACAGAGTGCTATTTGTTGGAAGTGTAGTGTGCTTTATTAAGCTTAAATGTTGCTGCTTTTACAAATTTCCTTTCTCTTTCAGACCCCCAGTATTCCAGCAGCCTGTCATATTCCTTGGTGCAGATGTAACTCATCCTCCAGCTGGAGATGGGAAAAAGCCTTCCATCGCTGCAGTGAGTGAATTGTGTCCAGATCTTTAACCCCAGCTCCCTCCTGCTGCTCAGCTCTAGTGCACTTTATTGCCTTCAATTCTTTTGTGGCCCATTGCTTCTGATTGCCTAATTATAGTATTGTAAATTATTTTTCTGCAGGAATCTAATGAAACTGCAGAGAGCTTGATCAGAAGCTAATGACTAAAATGTATGTGTTAGCTTGTAAAATGCCTGAGCTGCTGATACACAGAGGAGCTCTTCTGGGAGCTGATATTTGTCAGCAGCCTGGAATGAGCTGGTGCATGTTGAAATCTGCATCTTCAGCAGTTAGGAGTGTTAAGAGTTTATTCATTGCTGATAAGGAACTGGGCTGGCTCAGCTATGGGTTTTGGGGAGTCAAGCTTCCAGAAACCCCAAAATATACAGTAATCATCAGAAATTAATCAGAAAGCCAAAGGAATCCTGGGCTGCATCCAGAGGAGTGTGGGCAGCAGGTCAAAAGATGTGATTGTCCCCCTCTACTCTGCTCTCGTGAGACCCACCTGGAATACTGTGTGCAGTTCTGGTGTTCTCAGTGTAAGAAGGACATGGAGCTGTTGGAGCAAGTCCAGAGGAGGCCA